AAGCCGGGGCTCGGGTGTTGCTTTTGGTGCCGCATTATAATAGGAAGATGTAGCTTGATTCCGGACCAGCCCGCCCTCGTCGCTGGCTGAAGGGGGCTGCTGCGGGTTCCCACGGACGCCGCTGCGCTCGGGCGCGGAGGGCGCGCGGCGGGCGGCCGCCGAGGATCCCCGTGGTGACCCGAGCTCCCCGCGGGGCCGGGACCCCGAGACGCGCGCCTCGCGGCGGCGCAGACTCCGCGACGCCAGCCCCGCGCCCGCCAGGTCGCGGGCAGCCCGGGATTGTTTTCTAAGACCTTATCTCTTGCTCGAGTTAATTTTCTTTTTTAATTTGGTGACCGGAACAAAAGTCACAGGACGATCCTTTGTGAAAGCCAAACGCGGCCACAAATCGGGGCACTTCACAGCATTTGTAACTAAATATTTGCTGGGCTGGTAGCTAAATAGGCCCCTCCGCCAACTTCCAACTCCCAAACTCTGCTTTTTTTTTTTTTAACGGAGCTGAAAGGTGATCTCCCTACAAGGAGATCAGACGGTGGAAAGCAATTGGATTTAGCACGGCGTTCTCCCCCGGTGCTCTTGGATCCCTGGGCAAACAGGACCGCGCGCCGCATCCTAGAAGGAATTAGGGCCGGGATCCTGGCGGGCTGGGATGTGTCTTAAGCCCTCGTGGTAGCTGAAGTGCTTTGTTAATGCAATTCATTAGCTGTTTGCAACAAGAAGTAGAAGAGGCTAGGCAGGTCTTCAAAAATACCCAAAGGGAGAAAAATAAACATCCTCTTGTTTGCTTTTTGTGGCTTTATTCATTTTCTTCCCCTCCCGTTGCCCCTCATCTAAGGCTGTTTTAAACCAAATTCGGTTATCTGGTTTCAGGGTAAGGGCTCCCTCTTGCCAAGGTATTAAATAAACAAGTAAAGCAAAAACTTGAATCCTTATGTAATCCAGATGCTGTTTCCTCGAAAACCACAACAAACTCTGCTAAACCAGATAACAGGATCAGAACAGTCGTCTCCCCACCCCACCCCGTTTTAGGGACAGCAGAGGACATCCTTGTTCAGGAGCTCCTCTCCAGGACAGACGATAAATAATTGCTGCTAACACTCTGAACTGCAGATGAGCACCCTTGAGGGATCCGGATGCCGTAAACTGTCCCGGAATGTTGGCATCTGGTTCTTAAAATGGAACTTTCCCTAGAGATAAAGCCGGGACTGAGCAGGCGTCTGCGTCCGCGGGCTGGCTTGGAAGTTTCTGGCCTCTTGATGCTCTCAGTTGAAAACGCAGCATTGGAACGGGGCTAAGTCGGCCGGGCTTTGTAGTGGTAATGAGGGCGCAGCCACGGGTCGGCCGACGCGTAGAGGCTCGGAGCCGCGGACCCGGCTGCACATCCTTCCACCTCCCCCGGGGCGGAGGGTTGGGGGCTGCTGTTCTTGAAAAATCTGATGGTTTTTTAGTGCAACCTCCAAGGGTTCTGCGGAGCCAGGCAGGGGGACAGTGGGGGCGGGGTAGGGGTCCTTCAAAGGTATTTTTAGGAGTCCAGCATGGAGGTCATCCCCGCGAAGATCCAAAGGAATAAATCAATCTCGCCATCCGCTAAGGCAGTCACCTTCTCCCCGTCCGTTCCTCCCTCGCGCCTGGCCCACCCTGCACGCCTCGGTTGCAAAAACAAATAAAATAAAGCAAAACCTCTTGCTTTGGCAACCTCTAAGCCACGTTATGCCTCTTTCGGCAAAAGGAAGATTTCTTTCTTCTCCCTCTCTCGGCTTTTTTCTTCTCCCCCGACTTCCACCCCCGCCCTTTCCTGTTCTTCTCGGTCCTCTTTCCTTTCCCCAAATCGCTCGAAACTTAAGACGTGCAGCGGCTGCAGGTGCGCGCGGGCCGGGCGTCCGGGCCGGGGCGAGCCTGGGACGGCCGGGCCTCGCAGGCATTGATCAGCTGGGCGCGCGCGCTGAGTGACGGCGCGGTTGCCATGGCAGCCGCCTGAGCGGCGCCGCGAGGACAAGGCTGCAGGGCGGCGTGAATGGGCGGCGTCACGCGCCTGGCGCCAGAGAGTCTGCTCCGGGGCTCCGGCTCCGGCCCCGCCGCGGCCTGGCCCGCGCGCCGCCGCCGCCGCCGCCGCCGCCAATTCATCACCTGTCAGGGATCACTCGGGGGGTCACGGGCGGAATGGACACAGCTGTGAGAACAAAACCAGGGGGAAGAAAGGCGAGCGCTCCCAATTGCGCCAGATGTGCAGGGAGGACCTTGAGCCCCCCTCCGGCCCCCCGCAGGCTCCTCCCGCCCCCAGTTGCATCACGCGGGGATTGCAAAGGCGGCCCGGAGGCCCGGCGCGCCCGGGCCCGGAGCTGCTTCTGATTACGGCGAGGGGCTGGACACGCTGGGAGCCGCCGGCCGGGCCGGGAAGGAGACCGAGTGAGTGAGCCCTGGCACCTGGTTACGGGAACTTCCAGGGTAGGCGTGGGGCTTGAAATGGGGGGCGTCCCGGTGAGTAAGCCCAGGGGACGGTATCTCCACCCCCACCGGAAGTCCTTCACACCTTCCCACCACCCACGGATCTAGCAAATCCAGGGCCCTTTCTGCAGCTGGGACCATTTGAACTTTAGAGGCCTCAACTGCGAACCCACAGAGACACCAATTGACAGATTTTTCACTGCCTTGTACCCCACCCCGAAAATGCTCCAACACCATTTTCTCCACGGAAACATAATTATAAAGGTAATTTCGTCTTGGGCTTGCTGAGACAGACGCACTAGAACTCGGGCCTTTTTTTTAATCAGTAACTTAGACAACCTCCTAATCCCCTTAAAATGATCTTTAAATGAATGTCGAACCGGGTAGCATGCCAGTCGAATCCAACACGATCCGGCCGACTGGCCTCTGACATGGCAGCTAAAGAAAGAAACCACACAACTTTGACCATATTTAGCAATTTTACTGCATCAGGGTACACAAAACGATCATGGGAGAAGACACTGTCTTAATCAACTTTGCGAGTGTGTAAAGTAATACCGTACAACGCTCATTACGAACCAGCCCAGAGCCTGGCTGTTGGGATAATGAGGCTGGCACGGATGTTAACATACGGTGTCCTTGGAAAAAGCTAGGAATGCGTCAGTATCGCAGAGCTGCAATGTCCAAGAATCACAAGTAATAATTTGAGAATCCCAAAGATGTTTGTTTACATTGGCTATTATTGTAAAATAGTCAAAGTATAACATCATGAACCAAAATAGTGTCAAAACAAAATCTGTTCCACTGTGGCACGTATGTGACAGAAACACATGCACACAAAGTACATCAAAAGGCTCGAACTGTGGGGGACTCAGTATTAAATCATTTCCAGACTTAATATCAGAAGAGAGGTTGTTAATCGAACACTCATGGACAGACTAGCAGGCAGCTTTTGCAGGGCAGGCCCTCAGCCGATTTCTATGCTGGTCAGGAAACCATCCACCTCCATCCTCCAAAATGAAGTGGCTTGGTTTTCTCAAAGTGACATGCACCTCAGCAGGACCCACTGCCTCCCTAAAGAGAAACCCTGGGGCGGGCACATGGTTGCAGTTGGGGTCAGGGACTGGCCCACCAGCTGAGAAATTAATCATTAATTGAAGGACAAAATACAGGTTCCCCATTGTCAAGCTTTGCTTTTTCTCTTCTGCCCCCTTCCTCTTTCTGAAACGCAAAGAAGGTGCCCTATGGAGACAACAAGTAAACAAAATGCTGACAACTATGACATCTTCTCTCGGGTCTTCTAGCTTATTGTATTCTGGGGAGATAGGATTTTCAAAACACAACTCATTTACTGTAGTCTTCAGTTAAACTAGGATTATGTGTGAATTAACTGAAAAGTACTTAGGTAAATGGCTGCAAGCTTTAGACTGCAGGAATAACTTCTTCAGGATTTAGAGAGGGAAAACAAGGAAAAAAGCAAAACGTGAAACTGCGTCCAGGACTAGGGCTGAAAAGATTTCTAACGTCATCCATGACAGAATTTTTATTTTTAATAGTGTGAAGATGTCGGTCACTGGCTGGAGCCACCTACCTTTCACAAAACTTTAAAAATACTGTAAGTGCTGGAATGTGACACCAGAAATCCGGATTTGTGCATAATTAATCACCTTACTTTGCCACCCACACTGCAGGTTCCCAGACAGGCAGCCTCTCAAGGGCAATATATGTAAATACAGCTTCAGTATGCAAATTTTCCTAATGATTTCCGACTAATAGGATCATTATAATAGACCTGCCTATTCTATGAAAGCAACCCCGAAAAGTGTCCTGCCTCTCAGAGCTCCTTAGCGATCAGCACGGTTTCCAATAAGTACTCATTTTACTGACTTTACCAATAATGCCTCCGTGTCGCTCCGGGTTGCACGATCCCACACTAAACCTGTCGTTGAGGGCGCGCGTGGGTGTTTTGTGTTTTGTTTTGTTTTGACATAGCTTAGCCTTATCTTAAGAGACTGAACTCTACACACGTCTCTTGTCAATGGCAAACTTATTTGCGTTTTTACTGTCTTCAGAAATGCTTTTCTATCTGATGACATCCCGTGGGTCGCGGAGAACGGTGACTTTCCCTCTGCTGTGCAGAACTTGTCCGCGTCGCTGTGGTTTTAGGGTTGCTGAAACCTCCAGGGCGTGGAAGGCTTAGTCGGGGGACACCCTAGGGCGAGGGTACTGGCTCACCATTAGAATTAGAATAAAGATGCACATTTGGATTCCTGGGGTCTCCCCCCCTCCGCCCCCCCCCAGCCTCCCCTTCTCCCCCCCCCCCCCACCCCCGGCCTCCTCCTCCTCCTCCCCTCCTTCTCCCCCGGCCTCCGCTCCGTTCTCCTCCCGCCCCGCGCTTACTGTACTCTATTTACCACCCCAGCTGGGCTCGCGCCCGCCCCGCCCACCCCACGGGGATTGGCTGCGAACGCGGAAGGACCGAGCGCTCGCCCCGCGCCAGCGCCCACCAATGGGGACGCCCGCGCGGCCTGATGGACGCGCCGCCTTCCACCAATGGGGACACAGGGAAGCCGGATCGTATGCCCCCGGCGAGTGCGGATAAAAACCGCCCCGCCAGGCTCCCCGCTTCATTCTGAGCCGAGCCCAGTGCCGAGCGCAGGAAGCTCCGCAGGCGGCGGCGGCCTGAGCTCCTAAGCAGCCCGCTCCCTCCCGGTCTCTCCTTTCCCCGCGCGCGGTCAGCATGAAAGCCTTCAGTCCAGTGAGGTCCGTTAGGAAAAACAGCCTTTCGGACCACAGCCTGGGCATCTCCCGGAGCAAAACCCCGGTGGACGACCCGATGAGCCTGCTGTACAACATGAACGACTGCTACTCCAAGCTCAAGGAGCTGGTGCCCAGCATCCCCCAGAACAAGAAGGTGAGCAAGATGGAAATCCTGCAGCACGTCATCGACTACATCTTGGACCTGCAGATCGCCCTGGACTCGCACCCCACTATTGTCAGCCTGCACCACCAGCGACCTGGGCAGAGTCAGGCGTCCAGGACGCCGCTGACCACCCTAAACACGGACATCAGCATCCTGTCCTTGCAGGTAAGACCTGCTCCCGGTGCCCCCGCCTGCTGCCATGGCCGCAGTCCGGGACTTACAGATGAGCTAATTAACTTTAAAAAAAAAAAAAAAAAATCTGCTATAAATTGAGTCGCGCGTGAAATTGCTGATAAGTTCTGACAACGTTAATGCATCTGTCTTTGATTTCTGAATTGTAGCACAAACGTGTTTAATGAAAGTTGCTGTTCTACGGGCTACTTAAAAAAAAAGAAAAAACACGCCCTTTCTCCTTAAGATTGTCTAACACCGCCTTTTATCCCCTTTCTCTTGCAGGCTTCTGAATTCCCTTCTGAGTTAATGTCAAATGACAGCAAAGCGCTCTGTGGCTGAATAAATGGTGAGTGTTTGCTCGTGCCTCCCGTTGGTAAACTGCCTCTTGGAGTGTGTGCGCGCGTGTTTTTTCATTTGTGTTGGGGGGGGAGGTACTTGTGTATCTGCAAAATTTGGGGTTTAGTAAATGAATGTGTACTTTAGTATTACCCGTAGCACATTGTCTGTGTATACCGCAGATGAAGGGGCTCCTGGCTCTGGTTACTCAAGATCACAGAACATTTTCCTTTAAAAAAAAAAAACAACCCAGTAACTTATTATGAAGGCGGCTGAGGCAAATGTGTATTGGCTTCTGCCACACATGTACTGCCCTGGCTCTTCTCTCCTATTGCTCTGGTACTATGAGGTACTAACCTCCATCTAATTAATCTTATCACCACAAATTCCATAGAGATCCTCCTTCCCTAAAACTGGAGCCGTCTGAGATTCGGCTAGCCCAGCATTGCTTCCCTGTGCCTCAGACCCTGTGATGTGGGATTCCGACTGCCCTATCTGTTAACTAAAGGGCTGTTTTCAATCAAATAATTGTTACAAGAAGCAGACTGGCGCCTGTGAGCACTGCTGTTGGAGATCCAAATAGGAGATTGCGTTGGGAAGTTTTTCCCTTGAGTCTCTGCTATTTTCATGTTTAATTTTCGCTGTCGAGGCCGAGTGTGTGTGTGTGTTGCATCTGGACGCCAGGGTTTGCCCAATCTTTGAGTGTTTGGTGGTTAAATGTTCAAACTGCGGCTTCCTCCCGGCGCCAGTCCGCCCGCCTCTGCCCTTAGGTTCCATTCTCCTAAAACATGCCTCTCCCCCAATCTTTTGCAGGTGTTCATGACTTTTCTTTTTCTTTGCACAACAACAACGAATCCACAGGATCTTTTAAGGCGCTGAACTTCTTATTTTTCAACCATTTCACAAGGAGAACAACAAGTTGAATGGACCTTTTTAAAAAAAAATGGAAGGAAAACTAAGAATGATCATCTTCCCCAGGGTGTTCTCTGACCTGGACTGTGATATTAGTTATTTATGAAAAAGACTTTTAAATGCCCTTTCTGCAGTTGGAAGGTTTTCTTTATATACTATTCCCACCATGGGGAGCGAAAACGTTAAAATCACAAGGAATTTCCCAATTTAAGCAGACTTTGCCTTTTTTCAAAGGTGGAGCGTGAATACCAGAAGGATCCAGTATTCAGTTACTTAAATGAAGTCTTTTGGTCAGAAATTACCTTTTTGACGCAAGCCTACTGAATGCTGTGTATATATTTATATATAAATATATATATATATTGAGTGAAACCTTGTGAACTCTTTAATTAGAGTTTTCTTGTATAGTGGCAGAGATGTGTATTTCTGCATACAAAGTGTAATGATGTACTTATTCATGCTAAACTTTTTATAAAAGTTTAGTTGTAAACTTAACCCTTTTATACAAAATAAATCGTGTGTTTATTGAATGGTGATTGCCTGCTTTATTTCAGAGGACCAGTGCTTTGATTTTTATTATGCTATGTTATAACTGAACCCAAATAAATACAAGTTCAAATTTATGTAGACTGTATAAGATTATAATAAACATGTCTGAAGTCAATACCTGAATTCTGAATGGTTTTTAAGATCTCTCTCTCTCTCCACTTCTCCATCCCTCCCGCCACCCCCCAAGCCTTAGAATTTGTATGCAGAGAAACTCCTTATCAGATATGTGGTCAGTGCCAGCACTTTGGGGCAAAGGGCTACTGCTAGCATTTCAGGAGAGCTGACCCAGCTGGGAAGGCTGTAAACAGAAGTTTCTCTTAGTCCTGCAGGGAAATATCAGTTGTATGCCTTGGGGCTGAGTTTCAAACCAAGAAATTGCTGTGGCAGTGACTTCTAGGAGTCAGATCATCCAAAAAAAATGTGGAGTCTGGAAGGACTACTTGTCTGAGTAGGTGTTAAGACACTTTTGTTGGAGGGTATGAAACTGCTTGTTAATCGGAAGGGTAAAGTCCACAGAATTCAGGACATGATTTAAACGATTTAGGGGAAGGGCAGAAAAGACCCCTGGGTGTTCACTGTTTGCTCGTGGGAATGAAAGTTGTAAGAGGGCCCCGAGCTCTCAAGCTTCACCGGCGCCTCCTCCACCTGTAGCTCACCGGCCTCTGGGAGACAGGGCTGGGGCGGAGCCCACTTTCCAAGACAGGTGGCTGTTAGATCGCCCTTCACCCTTGACTGCACCCCGGGACTGCCCAGGGAAGGAGAAGAGGGAGGGAGGGAGAGGAGAAGGGCCTTCTAAGTCACAGAAAAAGTAGCAGCGCGCTATTTCCTCACCTGGCAGTTTTGGACCCCGCTCTAAAACACGGTAGTTCACATGAACACGTGCTTAAAATTCCTAGGTATACATATGTTCCCAAATTGGAAGACATTTCCTTAGGTGTGTGAGGGTGGGGTGGGAGGTTCTGGAAGGCTGGTCCGAGGGGGGTGGGAACCGGAGAAGGAAGGTGGGGAGGACAGGCGGGTGGGGATGGGTGCCTCACCTGGCGCCACTTTCTCAGGCCCAGCCCAGCAGGTGTTTGGGTGGCGCCACCTTGTCTGCCCCGGCGGCGGTGGCGTTTCCGGCCCCGACAGGGAATCCGTACGTCAAGGGGAGCGCGGGGCCAGGTGTGGAGAGGCGGCCTCCGGCCGGCGGCCCAACCTCGCCGGGCTCCCTCATCCCCTGCGGCGGCAGCGCCCCAGACCCTCCTTCCTCCAGGGCGGGCGTCGGGGAGCCGGGCGGGGCAGCTCTGACGCCACCCGCGCCACCGCGCCCTGCCCCGCGTCCACGCCGCCGGCGAGCACGTGCCTTGACCCGGGCGGTCGTTGTTGTTGTCAATAATCATACCCCGGGGGACGCCGCTCTGCCTGCCGCACCTGGGCGGGGCGGGTCATCCCGCGGCAGGCCGCCTTTCAGACCTGTCACCTGATGTCTGGCCACCTGTCCCTGGGCGCCCCGCACCACGGGCCGCCCTGCGCTGGACGGTGACGGGGAAGCGCGAGGACCGGTCGCTGCCCGTCCGCCCCCACCCCGTCCTTTCCTCCGGGGGCGACGGGATGGGGGCGCAGACCCCGGCCCCTGGTCGCTCCCGGCCTCGGCGACCCGCGCGTGGTCGGCTCGCCTGGGCGAGAGGTTCAGACTCCGACGGGGGTGGAGGGGTCTTCTGCAGGGGCTCGTGGGCTTCCCGGGGAAGCCGTGCGGGCGGGACGGGGCCCCTTCGAGCACCTGCGCGCTCCCTGGAAGCCGGGACCGTTTGCCACGTTTGGACGACGACCCGGAGTAGCAGCGGCGTCCAGGAAAAGCTGCACCTTTCGGAGGAGACTTTGCGCGGCGGAGCTCGGGCAGCTCTTCGGAGTGCGGCCGGTGGAGGCCGGGCGCCACCTGCTGGCCGGCACGAGGAAGGCGGCTCGCGAGCGCGGGGTCCCGGGGCGCTGGGAACCCGAGGGGCAATGAGCCGGAGCACAGGGGAGAAAACGCCCGGAGAAACAGCCTTTTGCAAATGAACGTTTGTGAAAGATTGCCTCTCGAATGTGTACAGTCCTTTCTACGTGTGAATCTTATTTCGTCTCTACTACTTCATACCTTAGATAGGATCCCCTTTTGCAAACTAGTGTCTACTACCAGTTCTACACTCGGGGCTGTCTTGGATTTTAATACAAGTATCAGACATCACCCCCAGGCTCAAAGAGATTATGACTGGTTTGCGGAGAAAAATGAATTGTGAAGTCAAATGAAAGCCGGAGAGTTTTCCCTTCTCTTTTCCTTACATTTATTTTATTTTTCCTGAACTGCTTAATGACATTAACTAGGACCTCCACTGTTCCATTAAAGGAATATGGGGTGAGAGCCGGCATCCTTGTCTTAGTCCAAATCTTGATGAGAATAAGTCAGACTTTCTCCATTATGCATGACCTGACTCTAGGATTTTGTTGTAAAAATAGTCTTGATCCATTTTGTGAAGAACCCTTTAATTGTTAGGTGTTTTTTAGTTTTGGGGGGATTTTGAAGCACAATTTGGGAGCGAATTTAGTAAAATATTTTTATTCTATTTACTGATACTATTTTTCTCTAGTGTTTTACACGGATTTTTCTGATATGAACGAGGCTTGCATTTCTGTAATAACTCCTACTTGAACATGACGTATGATTACTTCTCATATACACTGTTGGATTCTGTTAGCCAATATTTTACTTGGAATTTTTGAGAATAAAATAGAGCCTGTGGTTTCTTTTCTTGTGCTGTCCTTATCTGATTTTGGAATCAAGGTCAAACTAACCTCAAACAATAAATGTGCAGGTCAGTTTACATTTAATTTTAGTTCTCAAAGTCATGGATAAATCCTCGAACGTAGGCCAACATGTGGTCTCTCCCTTCTATCGAAACTGGATTCACAGATGTGAAGGGAGTGACCAAGGGCACACAGCAGTCTATGGACAGACTCCATCCAGGGTTTTACTTGAATGGTGAAGGGGCTTTTGAGGACAAAGATGTAGAAGTTAATAGGAAAGAGCATTCTTGTCAATAAAAACCTGTTTCATGGAGTTTTTTGTTGTTGCTGTTCAAGGATAGTTTTTTATGGGGCTTTTCACATTGTGGGTGTGCTGCTCCAGAACTACCCAAATCCCTGTTAGCCTGGCTCAACACACACCCTTCCGATTTCTGACGCCTTCCTCTCCTGGAAAGGCTCCTCCCAGCCCCTGAGTGTCTTTCTGAGTGATGGTTCTGCTCAGGTTTTGAACGTCTGTTTGCTCATAAAGATCATCTGAGACAGAGACAAGATTTGTCGAGCCTAACAGGTATTTTGCTTAGTGCCAACTACTGAGAGCGAGCAGGAACATCAGCATGATGACGCGTGCATGTCTGGGGGGCCCCTCCTGAGGGACGGTGCCAAACCCAGCATGGGGGCATTGGCCCAACAGGAACTAGAGACAAGGTTTCGCTCCCCTGTGAAGCAGGACATTGGAAGTGAGACTGCTCTTGAAGGCCTGCAATCTGAGTTACAGTGTAGACTAAAAAGAAAATTAACCCTCATCCAGGAGGATCATGGGGAGGCCTTTCTGTCCCTGGGAGCTCAGGAGGGGAGAAACACCTCCCTTGAGAATTCACAGCCACAGACATGCCCCTCTGGGGAATGGAAATTTAAATGTATACTGCCCTGTTCATTCGAGAAATTCTAGTGCTGATAAATTAATATAAAAATCGTTCCCGGTTGGTGACACCCCTGGGGTGTTTGGCAGGAGCAAATGCAAAACTTCTCCAGAGAGGGAAGCCCTCGATACTGACCACACAAAATTCTCATATTCAATGGCTTGCTGAAAGTAGGTTTACAATTAAAAATTTTATAACCTACTGAAAACCAATTTACAGTGAAAGAATCGGTAGATATGACCAAGAGAAAGATTAGATACCAAAGAACTGTAGACTCTAAGGTAAGGGTAACTAAAATGATTTGAGAAAAGAAATCAAAGAACTAATTAAAAACATCAGAAAATCACAAGGTACAGTCACTGAAATTGAAAACTCAATGGAAGGTTAAAACCCAGATTTAAAACTACTGGAGCATTTCTAGATGCTAACAATGAACAGCCTGAAAAGGAAATTAAGAAAACAATTCCAGGGGAGCCTGGCTGTCTCATTCAGGAGAGCACATGACTCTTGATCTCAGGGTCCTGCATTCAAGCCCCACGTTGGGTGTGGAGCACACTTTAAAAAAAGTAAAAATAAGAAAACAATTCCATTTACAATAGCATCAAAATGAATAAAATGCTTAGGAATTAATTTAGCCAAGGAAGTGAAAGACTTGCACACTGAAAACTACAAAATGTTGCAGAAAGAAATTAAAGAAGACATAAATAAATGGAAAAACATCCTGTGCTCATGAACTGGAGATTTTAATACTGTTAAAAATGTCAATCCCACCCAAAGCAATCTACAGATTCAGTGCAATCCCTGTGAAAATCCCAGTGACATTTTTTGCAGAAATAGAAAAATTCATCCTAAAATTCACATGGAATCTTAAGGGACCCTGAATAGAAAAGCTATCTTGAAAAAGAAGAACAAAGTTGTAGAACTCACAGTTCCTGGCTTCAAAACTTACTATAAAGCTATGGCAATCAAAGCAGTGTGGTACAGTATAGGACAAACATATTGACACATGGAATAGACTAGAGAACCCAGAAATAAACCCTCATATATGTGGTCAAATGATTTTCAACAAGGATGCCAATACCATTCAATAGAGAAGGGCCGGTCTTTTCAACAAACTAGAGATCCACATACAAAAGAACAAAGTCAGACCCTTCCCTAACACCTTATACAAAAAATTAACTCAAAAAGCATCCAAGACCTACATGTAACGGATGAAACTATAAAGGTCTTAGAAGAAAACATATGGCATAAACTTCACGACATTGGAATTGGCAATGATTTCTTGGATATGACACAAAAGACACAGGCAACAAAAATAAAAATAGACAAAAATAAAAATTGGACTTCATGAAAATTTACAACCGTGCCTCACCAGACACCATCAACAGGGCAGAAAAGCAACCCAGAGAATGCGAGAAAATCTTTGCAAATCGTAGATCT